TCATCATCATCATCATCCTTAGTGCCACAGTCTGGAATATAATCCTCCTTACCATCACAATCATCTTCATCATATCATCTGTAGACAAATATAGTTATATGCAGTTAAAAAGCTGAGAACATGGAGGAAGGTGGAGTTTACCAGCATCCAGTAGAAAATGAGAACCAAATAAAACCAGTGAAAAACCAGTGTCCTGTAGACTGTCATGCAGAGAAGATGTCAGCTACGCTGCCTGTAGCACATGTGTAATACTGTGAACTCCCTCATTTTAAACATGTGAGTCTTTTATACTGATTTTCAACGTTAAACACACGAAGAAGAGCAGAGAAACGACACCTTTGTACTGTACATGCTGCTATTTCTTCACTTATTTAGAGGAGCTGGCCTCATGTTCACATGGAGACCTTTGATTCATTAAAACATGTTGAAGCACACGCTAAAGTCTTCACTGGATGAATAATGGGAACAATATGAAGTCAAGAATACAAATTAGTGGAACTATCCCTTTAAAACCTCTTCCATGGAGCACATTTTCCCTTCGAACAACGACAGGCAGTCCTCACACAAGTGCATGAGTTGAACAGGAGGAGAAGAAAATAGAAGCAGAATAAAAACATCCACTACAATAAATAAATAAATAAATAGTGAAAATAAATAGAAACCTGAGGACTGTTCACTGAACCGACTGCCGGGTCTCTCTGAACCTCTTGGTCAGACCAAGCGGAGACAAAACTCCAAGGCAGCCAACGGTGGATGAGCGAAGAACAGAGGAGCTGATGGAGAGTGGGACCCCCACAAAGATCAGTTTTCAGGGCTGCAGAGTCCACCTGTTCCACCCTGCCGCCCCTGGCACGAGCACTTCATGTCACGAAAGGCTAAAAACACTTTACACAAACCGAGCAGAACAAATAAAAACACAAACAACAAAAATAAAGTCCTGGGCTCAAGGCAGGGACTGATTTGTCCTCTGAAATAAAGCCCCCCTCCTTCTGTCTGTCATAAAAACTCCAAAACTTCCTCCTGGACTTGTAAAGAAAACACGCTGAAAGCATCAAATGTTCATGTTTGCAGACACGTAAATCTTGCAGAGTGTAGTAACAGACTGTTGTGACATCATGGAAGCAACAAGTGCCGTGGACGAGGACCGAAGCAGGACTGAGTGTTCATTTGTGTGGGAGCTTCATGTGGACGAAGCAGCAGCAGCTTTCTGCTCCGTGGCTTCAGAGGAGAAAAGTGTCACATGAAGAAGGATCCTTTGCTCTGACTTCTTTTGTCAGGTTCAATAAACAACAACAACCTGCTGTTGTGTTCCAGTCACTGCAGCTGGAGACGGTTCAATCATGAAAACGAGTCTGTATTAATCCGTCTCCTAGCAACAAGAAGAGCCGCCGACGGAGCATCCCTCCATCACAGCGTTGATTTAGTTTCAGGAGACAAAAATACTTAAATTTTTAAGTGAATTAATGAATTAATTATAGCTTCTGAAACAATTTCTGTTTTACTTTTAGTATAACAAATATGGTTTTCATAATTCTTTGATTTGGCAATTTATGGTTTTTATATTGTAATTGATGGCCTTAAATTTGTTTGAATGTATTAAATAATAGAGTAAATATTTAAGGAAACATCTAAAGAAACTGATGCACCTCTTTCAGCAGTGAGTGCCTCTGTCTTTAAAGAAAGATAAAACTATGATAAATAAAAATATCTGTGCTGCATCAGTTAAATTTAAACATGTAACAAATATGAAAGATCCTATTTGTGGGATTTAGTGACATCTAGAGACAAAACTCTACACCGCAACAAAATTAACCAAAGTGTCAGATTGTCATTTAATGGTCAAGTAATATCAAAGTGAACAAAATAAATAAAACTTAATGTTTAAAGTTATTGTGCTTGTTTTCTGTTAACTGGTTTAAAGCGACTAGGTTTTCCTCGTGTAAATGTTTTGACTGTGAAAACAGTAGAAATTGCAAACTGTTACTAAACTTTAAGGGTGGTGTCTCACTCGTCTGAGAGTAGTTTGTCTCCAGAGTCCTGGGACGTTTTCAACTTTCCTTGTGAGACTTGTAGAGACATGCAGTCCTGTGGCTTGAGTTTTAAACAGGATTTTAAAATGTGTGACGTTTTCCCTCTAAATAGAGTCGTCGTCGTCCAACTCGTCTCAAGAGTGAAAGTATTTTGACTTCTGCGCGAGAGTTCCTGACTGAAAACATTCGAGGCAAATGTCCAGGTCTAAAACACACTCTGATGATACATAATAACTGAATAACTGGTGCACATCTGCCATTTTCAACTCTGACGTGTACAGCAAAAATAAAAATGTTCTTTCTTTTTTGAGGGATTTCTTTTAACCAACTAATGTAAAAGTCACAGCTCAGCGAGAAACAACATTAAGGAAGAAACTGTTGATTTATGAGCAAAACAATGAACGTTTGCAGGAAAACTTAAAGCAAGTTTTTTTTCTTTAAAAATGGGTGATTCTTACAAGCCTTAAAGAAATAATATGCTGTTTAATGCTTTGCTGCTTTATGAGGCTGTAAAACATGAATCAGGGTGTCAAAGTGCGAGGGATGAGTGTTGTACACGATGGCAAACTAAAAGTCCTGATAACAAACCTGTTCTGTGCTTCCTGATCAGTTTCTCTGCTGCTGAGTTCAGCATTCGCTCTCCTGCCACTAACAGAGCAACTAGGAAACAACAGCAGGTTCCTTCGACTGGACCTGCAGTGGACGCTGCGTCTCTGCCACACACACATTTACACTGTTTACATTCTCAAACAGCAGCCGTCAAACATCGAAACATGCCTCTTAAAGATTACAAGCCGTTTGACCCTGGAAGCACCCTTGTCCCTGGGTACTACTCTTTGACGCTGACAGTACACTTCAAGAACTCGAGACAGTTCCTCAAAATCGCAATAGCATCAGTCTCTGTGCCATTCAAGGCCCCGTATCTTCCAGCCTCTCTGACCATCGACCTTGAGCCAACTGGAGCGCAGACGGCCTCTATCTTCTACAAGTGGGACTCCATGACTTATGAATCGTTCAGAGGGATACTCGTATCACCAAAGAAGGTGCCAGCCAAGGGCCGCATCAAAATCACACCAGAAGCCAGCCAGCACGCGTTTATCGCGGGCTTCGAGGGCGAGGGCTACGAGATCCAGAGTATCGGACCCGGCCCACCAGGGCAGGACATCAGCGGATAATGGCCTACAGAACCGACCAAGTGCTCTCTTCGCCCGTAATAGGTACTGAAGTAGAGATAGCACTAACAAGCTCCACAAACCCATCCCACTTAAAGCTCAGGTCTATGTTGTCAGGCTTACCTCTGTTGCGCTCTAACCAATATTATGTGTTCTTCCTCAGGAACCATTCAGCGGTGGCGTGCTCGATCTCCAATCTCAGTGCTGCAGCGTTACTCATGTGGAACGTGGTAGCGACCACTTGGGATTGCTGCCCAAATTTAAAGAATAAGGTGGTCTCATGCATGCCAACAATTTTAAACAACAAGTGTTTGAGAAACACTTTAGAAAAACATCTCGAGATGCAAGACCTCATACAGTCAGTATCTTGTTCAAAACTACAAACTGTATCGAAATGTGTAGGAAACAGGACTTTCCAATTCGTCCAATCCCGTGCTGTGCAAGTCCAAGTCTGAACAGTGTGTAATGACTTACAATTATTTGCTAGCCTATGCAGATACCCTAAGATCTCGGGTGCACCTTCTCATTGCTGCCTTGGTTGAAGATATAATGGGTAAATACACCTGTTCTCAGGAAACCCAATGCTCAAAATTTCTGTTTCATGCAGACATGCTTGCACTCAAAGCTGCGCACGATGACTATTTCTCAACAATCAAATCCGTCTATCCTTGTGCACAGGAGAGAGTTCTTCACTACCACAACCAGGTGGTAGTTGATAACTTCTTTAAAATCACAGAAAAAGCTGTGGAAGCCTTGGGCCGCGACTTTGTTGGCGACTTAGAAGATCTTGCTAGGAGTTCTCCAGTGCAGTGTCTCGAAGTCTTCTCTGTACAGAAATGTTTCTCCTTTCCAGAAATAAATCTCAAAGAGGGGGTAGCGCAGCAATTCAGTAGGACGAGAAAAGAAAACTCTCCCGCAGGAGGGCAGCACAAGGCAGGAACCGAGGTGCTTTGGATGTTTAAAAAAGTGTACATCAAAGGTTATGTTAAGAAAACTGGTGCGTGGCCGCCATGCACTCTCCTTAAAGGAGTTGACCCAACTATTAAATCAATGAAACTAAACAACGAGTGGCCAGGTCATGCAGTGGTTCCCTACCACCTGTTTAAGTTTGTCCAGCTTGATTATCAAGGGAAAGGGCTCCAATTCGAGCCAGACCTGTCTGACATTGTGACTGACAAAGCAATCATCGAAACTCGAGATTGCTGGACATTTGAATATAACGCAAGGGCATACTTTGATAAATTCTCGTCAAAGTTATCGCGGATGAGGCAAGACCCCGGTGATAAGCGGCTCATCAAGGCCATGTTGAATGGGAAGCTAGAAGACATACCGTCCATGCTTCAACCATACACTGACAGGACAGTCAACAGCACGTCCCTGGTCACTGTTTTTGGTTCCTAAAGAAAAAGAGCCTAAAACAAAAGGAAGGTATTTCTCGAAGCAGTCTCTTGAAACCAGGATTTATCAAGTATTAAGTGAACTAAATCTTAAAGAGCAAATTCTTCCTTACCTGCCCTTCCAATCAATGACAACCGGCTCCACGCAGCTATCACATATCCTTGACAAAATCTCAAATCAAATCACGGAAAAGACAGCTTTTGTGATCAACCTTGATTACGAGAGCTGGTGTAACACGTTCAGACCAGAGTTCCAAGACCCGTTATGTGATCAGTTAGACAGAATGTTTAAATCAGGCAACTATTTCAGGGTAGGATCATATCTCCCGCTCGGGACAATGTTTCTTATCCAAGACAGGTTTAATGCTCCCAAACGGGGAGAACGGGTACCCCTTGGAGGACCTGACCTCATGCATCCACGGCTCACTCACAATGGGCGAAGGGATACGGCAAAAGCTGTGGGCAATTCTTACTGGGTGTATGGAGCTGATTGTTCTGGAGCGTTCAGGTGTACGAGGAGAAGTGCTAGGGCAGGGAGACAACCAAACACTGGTAATACACACACGACCAGAGCAAAACAAGAATGAAGTCAGAGACTTAGTGATTGCCGACCTCCAAGTATTTTCAAGCCAGTGTGACTTGATTTTAAAGCCTGATGAGTGCTGGTCTAGCGGCGTTTTGTACGAATACGGAAAGAAGATGTACTTCAAAGGCGGACAGGTTAGCAATTTCTTAAAAATCTTCTCTAGAATTTCTGACAGCACTGGAGAACTTTATCCAAACATTTATGCGAGACTAGCTTGTCTAAGCTCAAGCTGCTTGTCGGCTTCTCAGTCTGATTACACACCATGGCCATCTGTGATTGCCAGTCTGCTCGTCTATTGTCTAGAGGTCAGAGGGTTTTTATGCTTCCAAAAACACACTCCTGCCAGAACAGACAACAAAAGAAGGGGGGAAATTAAAGAGTAAAACCCTAAAACTAACAAAAACATGTTGTCCATGGGTGCAGTATCATAGCTCACAAACAAGAAGCAAATTACAAAACTTTAAATATCCTTTTCCACTTAATAGCCACGATAAAAAAGCAGCCACTGTTAATATGGGAGATAAAACATGCTTCCTTAAAAAGATAAAACAAACAGATTTCCTTCAACTCTAAAAACCACTGGCATCAATATTTCTGAATTATACAAATTACATATACAATTGCAAATGTGTAACAATAATAATAATAATAATAATAATAATAATAATAATAATAATAATAATATAGTAATGATAATTATAGATTTTACCTAAAACTTTACATACTGTATTTCCAGTGCAGTGTTTATGTCACAAGTGTAGATTCACAGGAGGACAAGAGGGTTGGTGTCACAAAAAATTGTGGGGGTGGGATAGAGACCACAGGAAGGAGGAACAGTGTTGAACACCCCCCCCCCCCCCCCCCAAATCAAACTCTCAGGGAGCAGGAGAGCAGAGGACAAAGCTGAAGGGCGTCCGGATGTTGTGGAGTTTTTGTTCGACGGTTTCAGGAGGTTTCTGTTCGGCGGGTGGCAGATGGGGGTCAGTAGTTGTAAAAGAAGAGATGCATGCTGGGGTGGGGGTGTGGGGTTTGAAGACAGGAGTCCAGAAATGGAGGCTATTAGTTGTTGAGGAGCAATGAACCCTGTCCCTCAAGTCAACACTGGACACATTTCCTCCTGTTCCTCTTCTTCACTCCCGACAGACACAACAGAAGCAATCAACCCTGAAAACAAAAAGGAAAGAACAAACAATAAAAAGGAAAGAACAAACAATAAAAAGGAAAGATTATACACTTCAACTTTGACCAAGTGAAGAAAAACAACCCAGAATGATAAACAGCGAGCAAAGTGGACAACACCAACGTAGCTATTATTTAGAATATTTTAGCTTTTCTCAGCCATTCAACAAAATTAGTTCAAAGCAATTCATTCTTAATTTGACATCAAGACAGTTAGCTGAACAAGCTCAGAAAGTAAAGAAGAGTTATGCAGAATATCAAGGATAATTAAAGCCTCATTTTCTGTTGCTGACATTTTAAAACTAGGCTATTCAAAATTTGTTCACATTCGGTTTTATTTTTATTCCTATGAGACTAACAAGAAGAACAGCTCGGTTCAGAGCTCCATACCTCACTGAAGAGGGGCAGCTGGAGCGCCCGAGCAGTGGAAGTGGATGTTCTGCCACTTGCTGTCTCTGCGATGCCAGACACGAGTCTCCTCCGACTGGGTGGACCGCGGCCGACCCTGATTGTCAACGAACTGAGTCAGGCGGATGTAGGCGATACAGGCGGCGTCCTCGCCGATCAGGTGGACATGGGGGTTCAGGATGGTGGTGTGGATGGGCTTGTTGTTCTTGGCCAATACTGGATAACAGGTGAGGACAGAACTCATCAGACAAAACTAATAAAATAATCAATGCATCTTGTCCAGAATCCAAAGGTATGGTTCAGAAGGAGATGAACGCAGACCAAACATTAATTTCTTACAGTTTTCAAAGTAGAATCTGTGGAAATCCATCCCTTCAACCAGGTTTCCAAGTGCCTCCGGTTCAAACGAAGTCAGTCCAGGGTCACAGATCTTACTGGAGACATAAGTTTAACATAAAGATCCATGACATTAACCTTAAACTTTGCATTAGATACAGATGATTAACAAGCTCCAGACTCACGCATACGCGTCAAAGTCTCCATTATTGATGGCCTCTATCAGCTGTTCAGTGATCTTTATGATTTCTTGTTTGCGAACTGCAAAGAACAGAACGAAAGGTAAATAATCACATCAGCTGAACCGACAGAGAGCGGTTAGTTTTTCAACCACACAGATGTTCAAGCAAATAAAACTTCAAGGCCATCTGAAGCAGAAACATCTCTATACAGGGCAAGTATGAGTACATTCTGTATACCAAACTGGAGAAAAGCCTCTACATGTGGATCCTGAAAGCACTTTATTTGAGCACACACAGGATATCTCCTTATATCATTTCACCACAAGCAATGACACTTCTTTGGTTAAAAGGTCAACAGCAACCACCTCAAACACAGATTAGTCCGCAGTTAGTAGCATACTCTGTGGTCAAACACAGAGAAAACTCAAAATCTCCTCTTAGATCAACTGAGATCATTGATTCTTCAGCACGCACGTTTGATTTACCCACTGATGTTAAAAATATCAAATCAACAGCTCACACAGAAGGCAAACAAAGACCGGCCTCCTGATTGGCTACCATACGGAGGAGAGGTGGAGGGGTGGTATCAGGCTTAGTACTCACTCTGAGAGGAAGACAAGGAAGAACTAGAGGAAGGGTGAGGGGGAGGTGGGGGAGTGGCATGTGCAGGTGAAGGGGTGGGCTTGGCGCTGGGTACCGGCGCCGAAGCAGCGTACGGTTCAGGTGCAGGTGCCGGAGGTGCCCTGCGAACGCTGCTTACCAGGTCTGTGAGCCGAGACACTGAGGATGGATGGATGGATGGATAGATGGATAGATGGATGGATGGATGGATGGGTGGACAGACGAGTGGAAAAAGGTGTGGTAAAGATACAGGAGGGAAAAATAAATCAAAAACACCAAGGAGAAAAAGACAGAAAAACAATGGTCAAAAACGATGCAGAATGAACGGTTTTGTAAAATATTAGTAATTATTGAACTTTTTCCTGTTAATGAATCATACCTCTGGTTAACTTTAAAACTAAATTAAACATAAAATGTATTTTAGTTATTGCCAGTAGTTTCTTTGTAGATTCATCATTTATATTAGGGATGCATGATATTATTGGCATGGTATCCGTATCGGCTGATATTAGCGTTGAAGTTCAATATCGGACATCGGCCATTCCATTAAAATAACTAGCCGATATAAAAGGCGCTGTTTTTGCCTGCAGCGGCAGCACAACGTGATGATGTTACAGCACAACGTGATGACGTTACAGCACAACGTGATGACGTTACAGAACAACGTGATGACGTTACAGAACAACGTGATGACGTTGCAACACAACGTGATGAAGTTGCAGCACAACGTGATGA